ATGATAAATCAAGTAAAAAAGGAAATTGGATAAGACTATTAAAATAGGATAAGTGATAAAAATGAAATGGAAGCAAATAAGATCAGATGGTCTAGTTCCACTCCTATTTTATAACTGTCCTAAAGATATACGAACCGAGTATGACCAGTAAAAGTGACTTCCCTAACTATAAGTAAACTCACATTCATCTTTCTAAGTTTATCCGAATACTGATGAGAAAAAAATAAATAAAATGATTTATTGAAGGGTTTAATCATGAGCTGACATCGGCTACAGAACCAGTGGAAAACTTGAGAATACTGGACAGCTGTTTCGTCCCAGTTAGGCACTCTTCATCAGTACGCACCCACAGGGGTTCGGACCCAGGACCTTCGTAGACCATGAAGCCACTGGGACCCGATCCAGTGGCAAGCCCATGAGTTCTAAATTCTGCCAATTCATGATATAGCGTGACTACTTCTCATTGTCTTCTTCGATGAGTTACTTCCAAACCTTTGACCTGCTGCACCCCAGGACGAAACAGCTGCAAAATCATGCAAGGATAACAATTCTGAACTGAATATAATAAATTACCCTCATCTACATAATTCTAATTTAACAATCAGGTATACAGACAAGGAAAGAAGACGCTAATGGAATCACTAATAGCCAAAGCAATAAATTCAATCCTCATAATTATTTCTTTGTGCAGTCATCAGAAAGGATTGAAACTGCAGATACTTAAAATATGGTAAACACTATATTGACAGAAGTCAATTTCATTAGCAGGGAACAAAGAAACAACCAAATGACCTTCCTGGATGTTGTCGGCACTAGAATCATTAACAAGAAGTTGGAAGCTCAAAGTTGTGATTAAAATACACATAATACACAACTACTACGGTGGCGATGTAAATGCACTTAAGGCAAGTCGTATGAGAATGTTATTCACTAAAGTAAAATCTCTCTGGTCATGACAACAACACCAAATGTATTGATATAAATTGCTCAATAAATGCATGACTTATTCCCCAATGGTTACACCTTAAATTGTTTTTTTTAGATTACTGCCTGTAGACAAAATAATTATTATTGAATTTTCTTATCGTTTTATTAATAAGCATACGTGAGGATACAAAGAATTTTTAAAATTTAAGTTTATCCCACTGAACTACAGTAACTAGTCAGTGTATCTTCGAAGGTGTACAAGTATTAAATAGCTTAGAAAATCTGATCAGATTGTAAATGAATGTGAAGAAGAGTGAGCTAATATGAGTTTTCAAATTGCCCTGAACATGACTCCGAGAATGCTATGGGAAACTGTATATTAAGCAAGATCTGTAAAAGAAATCTGACTTCTTGAGCTACAAATGTTATCCGTTGCTTATAAAATCATTTATGAATTTTCTTAATCGTCACTGAAAACCTTTTTCGTCTTACGCTTTCAAATTTAAATCTAGCATTAACAGGTATTTGATAAAGAAATATATTCATCACTTCCGCTCATTGGGGACGGTAATTCAGTATGTGTGCATTTGTGAATGAAACTTTTCCAACCATTCGTTTCCAAAGCAAAAAGAGGTTAGATAAATATAATTTTTATCTGTCAAGAGAAACACCTTACTACTGTTACGCATGTTTTTGAGCTTTATGAATTTAACACTAACCCCCCTCCCCTCCTCATCAAATTCCAGTCAGCTTGCAGTTGTGGTTTGAATGTTACTTTTAGTATTTTCGTCACCAAGTCGACATTTCTCATGGTATGGGATCTTGAAGAGCCATCGTTTCGGCCCGTATAATGGTTTGGATCATTACAGAGGATAGGTCAGACCATCAAGTGATGATAGCCATTCTCAGTTTGACACACTCAGACTTTTGGCCTCATACTGGTCTCTTCGAACTTATTTATAATTTTATGTCTATATGCTCAGTAGGTAATTTACATATGTGGAACTGTCACCATTCTGAAGCCGTTTCAAATAGAGTCTTTGGTCTTTGTTATCTAATATCTTGAGAAGCCTGACCAAGTAGCCTATATTTGACAGCTTTATTTTGACCACTACACTAGGTTATATCTGGTCTTGTTCATCAGAAGTTTTGTCTCAACTTAATCTTAATGTAGGTGTGTTGGGCTAAACGGTGTGTTAGTGGAGAATAACTTCCTTTACTGACTTGCTTTCCCTAATTAATACTTGAAGCTTATTTTCCTATTTCTAACATAGATGTTAAATGCTAAAAATGTAATACTGGCTGAATGCTTGTAATCTTCTTAAATATTTTCCGAATTTGTAGTTTACTGGTGCCAAAACATTCCTTTGGTAAAATTAAGCATGAAGAGAAATACGAATGTCAGTGTATATGCATATTTATACAGCACTCCCAGGCACTATACTCGACTTCTGTGATTCACCAATAGTCTTTAGAAGTTCAGGAGTCTTATGCATGGAATTGTCTGCACTTCCTAAGTTGAGTTAGTAGTTTAGTAGTTACCAGTTTAGAAAATGACATAAGTCGTCCCCAACACTTAGATTTATTATTAGATTGGGACAATTCATCAACTTTCAAAGCTTCGTGACCCTAAGCAGAAAGAGGAACCTGAAATACACCCATTCCTTGGGGATTCAGAAGATATGCAGCGAGGAAGTGATTGAAGAAGGACTGCGTAATCTCCTAAAAACCCGGATGGAAAACGGTTTCCCGCCCGGATTCATAGACAAGAATCTCAAATCTAAGAAGACTTCCGAACAGGTCCGATCCGTTCCGAAGAAAATACTTCTGCTTAATCTAGAAATTCGTAAACGCCTCTTTAAATCGCTGAGGAAAACATACTTCGCCACGAGCCTACGACTGACGTTTTCCTGCAAGAAACTGTTCAGCCAGAACTGCAAAAGACAAGCTGTCGCATTGGGCCACCTCAACGTGCATACACCGGTTTACTTGCTCTTGTGGAGCTGAGTACATCGGCCATACCATGCGCCGACTTGAAAAACTCGCTCGTGAACAATACCCAGCCCGGCTAGTTAAAGGAGACCAAAAACGTGTATACAGTTCAGTGAGAGAACATTCGGTCAATTTAGGGCATTCAGCGCCTTTCCAAAAATCCTTCAAAGTCATATACAAGATTCAATCAAACCTATCAAAGGGAGTGAAATCAAGAAATCTGGGTATAGCTGAGGCACTAGCTATCCAAAAGCTCAAATCCACGCTTTGTATCCAAAAGAAATACGTCCAACTCCTGTCCCTGCCATGGCCATCATAAACAGGTAAATTTTCCTTAGTAATGACCATCCCATCGCCTTTCTTATCTAGACTTCCTGTGTATTCATGTTATCTTAAGTTTTTATTAATCCCTGTTTACACTACCCTATTTTCATATCCAAACTTCGTGTTTGTTTTGTCATTTTACTATTTCTACATATTTAGTCTTTGACTGCATAAACAGTTATTCATCACATTAGTTTTTTTATCCAAACATCCTGTCTATTTAGTTAGTTCTACATTTCTAACCCCTAATTGCACAATGTCAACCTTCTCAGTAATTATGAAGCTACTTTGTTTGTATTTTATCCGTCCCCCCTGTTTATTATGGCGTTCTAATTGTAATTTTTATTAATTTGACCCATGACCGGAAATTATTCTGGAACTTTCCCGTCCATTTGATATAAATACACGAATGTATAGCCTAGATGATAGTGACTTCGTCGAAAAGAAAATTTTCTTAGCTGCAATTGTCTTTTTAATAACTGCTACAATCCAATGTGTATATTCCGTAGGTTAGGTTCAACCGTATCAACGGGGAATTTTTAGCAAGTGAATCCCCCCCACCCCCCAGTTAGATCTCCATCATAGGACACATCAATAAGACAGTTTCGAATCTTTACTCAAAATGTAAAGTGTTATCATCAGTAGTTTTTAAACTGACTTTAAGGAAAAGGAATGAAAGAACTCATAGGATCATTTGTCCAGAAAAATGTATTATGCCTAACTTGTTTGTTGTTGTTAACAAAATTTCAGCAGAGATACAAAACACTAAATCAAGTCTCAAACAGCACAAATAGTTTAACACAATCTTTGAACAGTTGAACAGTATAAGAAAAAGCTATAGATTTCTGATCAAGTTTACCTTCATAGCCTTTTGCATTTACCAGTCAACCAAAAAATGAAAATAGAAATAAACGAAGTGAGAACAATAAATATTATTAGTTGTAATTCTAAAACAGTATATGTTGTCATTCATGACAATGATGAAACTGTGGTGTTCGTAGTAGTAGTAGTCGAAGTAGCAGTTGTTGCTAGTCGTACTGGTAGTGGAAACAGATACAACCGTACTTATAACCTTCAAAACCACTAACAATAACATATTTCTGTCTGTTACTTTTTCCTGGTAAATTTAACAAAAAATATAATTAGTGTTATATTAACAATATAAGAAAAGAAGAGGAAATTAAAAGACATTGAGAACATCTGTTACACACAATCAGTCAGAGTCAGCATGATTTCTTTGTAAAGACGAAAGAACATTGGAAATGTACATACAAGAAAGACTAATTAATATACACGGAGACGTCTCTCTCTCTCTTGTGTACTGCTTACAGGTTAAAGACGATTCTATTGGGAACAAAAACAAAACGACAGCAGAAAGATACACTTTCATAATTATATATATATATACATATATATATATATATATATATATATGGTATAGAATAATATTTATAGTAACAGTATATCACAGGGTTTCAATTAATTGTGTATGAAAAATAGACTTTTGTTCATTTTGACCTATTAACAGATTTGATGATGATGTCTCTTTGGTTGTCAGAAGCCACTTTTCATCGTTTTCAAGAAAATGTTTTCTACTATCTGTTGATGTACTCAGTAGTATATTATTATCTGTTGTTGTCACTGGTGGTGTTGGTGTAGCTGATTTCTTCCCAGTTGTTGATGGATTTTGTACACTAGGGACTAATGTAGTCACTCCTTGACTACTTGATGAATTGGGTATTAAAGGAGTGTTAAGATCAACTAAATTATCAGCTAGATTTTTATCATGAAAAGACGATGATTGTGGTTTTTGTTCAATATCACTGAGTAGTGGACTACATATTTCATACTTTTTATTATAGTCTTTATTATGACTGGAATAAGATAAATTTTTGTTAACATTGACTTGTTTATTTATAGAATGCGTTGAATTAAACAATAAAGAATCATTATTTCCATCAGATATAAGATTTTCTGGTATCTGATGTCTAGAGTGTATAAGATGAGATTCTCTAGCCGATATACTAATTGGTTTGCTCAAATTATACATTATGTCATCATTGTGCGAATCATATGAAGTCGAGTGTTGAGTTGATGTCATATTTGTCAAGTGTACATCCTTTTTCACTGGATTTTGATTTATTTGTATTTGTACAGGTGTATCATCTTTAAAAGAAACTGTCCTCTTTGTTTCCATCTCTTTAACCGATTCTATACTTTCTAATAGTGTTACTGAATCCTGTGGAATACTTTGTGATGTCTTTTGAGTTTTAACACTATTCACAGTAGGAATGCTGATATTATTCTTAACAACATCAGGAGGTTTTACTACGGGTATTGATTTTTTAGTATTGTCATCTACAGTATCATTGGATTCTTCAATATTTTTTAATTCATTCTCCCAATCTTCTAATTGCTTTTCAGATAAATGTAACTCATTTGTTGTTTTATTATTATTGTTATTATTATTGGGCTTCGTTGAATGCGTTTCACACACCAGCTCTGTAGTCGTTAAATTATGCCTGGATGATTTATCTCGAATTATTCCCGTCTTATCGGATGATTTAAGACAAGATGGTGAAGATAATGATGATGATGAAGAGGATTTAGTTTTTTGATGATTTGGACATCGTGTAGAATGTTCTTGTTTAACTACTAATGACTTTTTTGAAGAATTCAAATGACAGTGATGATGACTATGTTGTTGATTTTGATTGTGTGTATGTGGTACATGATGACAGTGATGATGGTGATGTTGATGGTATGCAGAATGAGGATGTTGGTGGTGGTGATGATGATGATGGTGGTGATGGGGATGGTGGGGATGATTATGCGGATGACGTAATTTATTCGCACTAGACATATCCTCACCGTCTTCTTCATCATCTTCACCACTTCCAATTCTACGTGCTGATGATTGACCTTTTTGATTTAAAAACATTTTTCTATCATGATGTTTTGTTCGGTAAGCACGAGATTTTAAGACAAGAAATATTGTTATTGATAATATTAAGGCAATAATTATCCCGATTAAACTGCATAGAATTGCTGTCCAGTGTAAAAATTGTGTAAAGGTTACTTGACATTTCATTTCAGCTACATATTCATCATTCATTTTAGGCATATTTATCGAGTGTAAACGATGTGACCGATTCAATGGTGAGTTATCATTGAAAATTAGTTGACTAGCACCGGTCTTTTCAAGAACAATATTCCTTCGGTAAGGGTTATTAACAGAAGAATTCCTCTCCGATGCTTTTGTAATATTTGAACGAAGAAGCAGCGGTGGTGGTGGTTTAACTGTTACACTTTCATTGTTACTTAGATCTAGTGAAAGAAATCGCTTACGTGTAACACGAAAACATATTAAATACTTTGTATCAGGATGAAGATTGGTCAGGTCAAATTCTTTCACTTTATAATCTTGTATAATCTCTTGTCCAGAAATATCAACATCAAAGTTATTATAATATAAAATCTGAAAAATATTTAAAATAATAAACACGGAGTAAATAAATTATTTTTACAGTGAAAAAAATTCCTAAATTTACGTAAACAAGAATGATGTCGATGATAATCAAGTAGAAATTTTCCCCCAGCCTTTTGCGTGCCTAGTGGAACATAAAGCATCAAACTGTCCAACTTCTTGAAGGTGAAGTAGCGGTGGTGTTGTATTTAAGAGTTGGGGGTCGCTAGTCTCACGTCCAACCTCCTCTCTTTTTGCCAGACTTACTAATCGACTTACAGAATTGCTGAAAATAATGAAAGAAGATTCAGTCATAATACCGGAGGTTTATGAGCAAATAAAACCATGCTGTTCAACTATTCCAAGACTGTTGAAAGACATATGACAAAATATAGCCTCAGAGATACATTTGACTTCATCGATTCAGTGAAGGATGTCAACGTGTCTGAAAGACAAATGATCCCACTAAATGTTGCAAGTATCCCCCTAACCGAAACAATATGCTTCATTTGTAATTACATCGAAACCAACAACCTGGAAGTTCCTCTCCCCATAAAATACATGAAGGAACTTCTTCTCAGATGTACGTTCACTATCCAGTTCAAATTCAATGAACAGTTCTATGTACAGAAAGATGGAGTAGCCATGGGGTCTCCTCTCGGTCCACTCCTCGCCGACTGCTTCATGGCGAGTCTCGAAAACAACATCCTCGATCCCTTGATAAGTCAAATGCACTTATACATGAGGTACGTAGATGATACGTTTATAATCCGTGATGAAAAATGTGATTTAGGTTCTCTCCTCAAAACCTTTAACGCAGCGCATGCCTCAATAAGATTCACCTTAGAACGCGAATCGAACAACGCCTTTCCATTCCTCGATGTTATACTCACCAGAAGACATGACTGTACGATCCAAAGATCGATATACCGCAAGCCAACATGGACTGGACAGTTTATCAACTTCCAGAGCTTTGTCCCACTGATCCGAAAGAGAAACCTGGTACGTACACTGTGTTCAAGGATTAGAAAAATCTTCTCGAAAGACATGGTAGAGAAATAATTAAATTTATTACGTGAAACCCTACTAGAGAATTGGTATCCACCAAGATTTATCGACAAAAGCATGAAGGAGAAGTCTCCGGTATCAAACATCGTAACGGTTCCTAAGAAGACTCTCTTCATGAACCTGGAATTCAAAGGTGATATCGCAGCAGAAATTCTCGGAAACCGCCTTTCTAAATGTCTGATGAAGACATTTCCAACAGCCACTCTACGTATCACATTTTCCTGCAGACAGTTAATCCAGTCTAACGCCAAGGACAAGATACCGCTTTTGGCCACCTCAGTGTGTATTTATCAATTTACTTGCTCGTGTGGAGCAAGGTATATCGGTCGTACGTAACGTCAAGGCCACAAACGTATTCTGGAACACTTCCCAACTTGGTTAGCCAGAGGAGAAAAGAAGAATAGCAACAGCTCGATCCTTAAACACCTTGTCATCTCCGGACATCGAGCACCCCCACATGAATGCTTCACAGTGGTACACAGAGTCCCTCAGTATCGTATGAAGGGACTTAAAATACGCCATCTGTACATAGCTGAAGCACTAGCTATTCGAGATCTGAAACCTGACTTCTGCATTCAAAAGCGATACATACATTCTCTTGCCCTACCATGGCCAGAGTAAATTTCTTACTACAACTTTGCTTCTTTCTTTTATTATGTAAGTTCACTATTATTATTATTACTTTTAATACCATTATTATTCCCATCATCCTTATTTTATTACCATTATTGTTTACTAATAACATTGCTTTTTCATACAGATTTTATACAAAAACACTTTATACCCTTTCCACTATTTCCTGTCAATTCTACACGAGCTTATTGACTAGACATTGTCTCACACATATTACGTCACGCCAACTTCAGCCTATTTTCTAACCTCCAATTAGTCATCCCTTCTTACACCTTACATTATGTGATACAATTTTTCAACGACAAAGCTTACCAGCATCTGATTGGTCTAAAGATGATTTCTTTGTTAATTATAATCACAATTGTACAGCTCATTAAAATGAATCGTCGAAAATAAAATATACTTCTCTGTTTGTGACTTTTTCCTAAGACTTACTAACGGCTAAACGAAGTTTGGGAGCATGTCGGCTGGGAGTTGGTGAGCATTCTACGACTGAGCCACTGAGGCACAACTAACTGGGAATAAACCCATCTGATATACTTTTTTTTACTTCCGAAAACCAATTAGCTCTTCTGATATGCACCAGCTATCATTCGAAAATCTTAGTGATAAGATGTTTTGACTTAATTACTAACTGACGCATGATTAACTTTTAAGAAAAGGAACGATTACCTTCAATATTATTAAACTAGATTTGGCAAATGTAAAAGTAAGATTAAGACCAATTTACATCTTTTATTCCAGTATTGGCGATCACTTTGCAAACTTAGTAGAAATATTCTCTACTCTACCTGAAATTCAGGACTTACTTTCATTGAAACCAAGTAACCATTCAGTGTCAGTAAAGAACTCTTCACCTCTTCAGTAATTAATTTATCTTGAGAGTTTTAAGTTTCTCCATTTAATTCTAATTAAGATTAACTGAAAAACTTACTTCTGTCTGGTTTTTCGGAAATTTCTCAATTTAAGATTAAGTGAAAACGTACTTATGTCTGGTTTTTCGGATACAACTATACTAACGACTTACCTGAGTGCCTGTCCCACTAATCTGTTTTCTTTACTGAAAAGTTACACAATCCTTTCATCTTTGCGTTAGTGGTTTAGAGATAGAATACCCTCCAACTACCCACATGGTCAGGTATTCGATCCCCCGCGCGAAGTATTCCTAAGCCTGGCTTACTTGGCAGGAAGCCTAGTTAAGAGACGGGGGTTGGCTGTAAAGTTAACAACCTCATCCTGCAGAAAACACCACTGCTACTGAAAATTCAAAAAGCTCAAGTAGGAAATCTTTTGTTCCACTCAGAAGGCGAATGATTAGAATAAACTATATTTACCTAATTTATATTACATATATTTATATAAAAGATTATAAGCGCTATTTTATTATTATTATATTATTATTTCCTTTAATTCCTAGAGGAACATAGGGCTTCAGCTGCGCGTCTCCATTGCCCTCCGTTTTCTGCCAACTTTTTCATTCCGCTCCAAGTCTAACCACACGCTTTCATCTTCTCTTCACATGACCTCCTCCAAGTCACCCCACCAGCGCACTGACGACCAACTCGCCACTTCCCTTTCGGCCTAGTTCCACTTGAGCAATGGCTTGTCTAGTGATGTCACTTGATGGTTTCCTCAGAGTATGGCCAGCCAATCCATCTCCATTTCTTCCTGCCTATTTGTTTCACGATCGGTTCCTGGTTGGTTTGCTCACTGCCACAGATCCATGTTGCTGATCTTTTCTGGCTGGCCATCTGATCTAGAGTTTTGAGCGAAGACAACTGTTGATGAAGGTCTGTAGTTTGTTTGAGATGCTCTTTATGACGCGCCGAGTCTCTGATCCGTAAAGTAGCACTGATTTCACATTGAAGTTCAAAATCCGCTTTTTCGTAATCGTCTGTTATTTATTGTGAAAGTGAACATTGTATGCTACAAATAATTTTGCATTTCTGATTGGCACTGTATAACTTTTGATCTATGATACATCTTGCATTTGGCAGGAGCGAATCGCATGCCAAACATTCGTAGATTGCGGCTCAAGGTGTTCAGAAGACTCTGCTCTATTTTGTCAGAGTCTTCGCCTAGAAGGACTATATCGTACCATCAGCCCCAACGGGCTGACCTCTGACGAAATCTCAGCACGAATACAGGGGGCTCGTTTCGCATTTGCCAGTTTACGCCGACTCTGGCGTAGACGAGATATCCGACTATCGACCAAAGGGCGTGTGTACTGCTCATCAGTCCGCTCCGTCCTCCTTTATGCTTGTGAGACCTGGCTACTGAGAGTGGAAGACATGAAAAGACTAGCTGTCTTTGATCATAGGTGCCTGCGTTCTATTTCCCGTGTAAAGTGGCATAATAAGGTGAGCAATATTGAGGTTAGGCGTCGAGTTCTAGGTAAACAGGGGAAATCAATCGACGAAGTCGTGAAGCTACAAAGACTGAGATGGTTAGGACATGTGTTACGTATGCCAAGCCATCGCCTCCCTCGACGAGCTATGTTGGCGGATATAGGGTCAGGCTGGAAAAAAGCTAGCGGTGGTCAAACAAAAACTTGGCATCAGTCAATAAAATCCACAACAGTTGGTCTAAGCCACGTAGAAAGGTGTAGACTTCCAGGCTGGGGTCCTCGGGACGGTAAAAATCTATGGTTGGAAACAATTGGTGACATGGCTCAAAACCGTTCTCAGTGGCGCAGATGCATCCACTCCCTGTGACTTATGATCTTCAATGAAACTGTTTTGTATTTCTTTATTACTCCTTTGTCTCACACCTCTGCTCACTGTTTCTATTATGCTTTTCTTGTACTTTCTTCTCTTGCTTCGCGTGCTACACGGAATGTGGCGACTTGAACTTCCGCACATTTGTGCAGAGTTCTATGTCGAAAACAGACATACAGACATGATACATCTAGGAAATTATCATTCTTTAAACAGTTTAAAGCCGAGTTATAGTGCTCAACCTTTGTATAAATAAAAATGTTATATTTTCATGTCTATATTTTTATGAATCATCCCCTGGGTTCCGAGTGGAACGTAAGACCTCAGAGACAAACCTCAAATGTACTCAGTTTTCTGCCATCAGTCTCATCTGGTTTTACGACTGCCCGACAGCCTTAATTTCCTCTTTACATAATCCTCTGCATATCTTTCTGGGATGTTCACCTAGTCGCAACTTATTTGAATTCCTCTGGAGGAACTGGCATAAGATATCGCAAGATTGTTGGAAAATAATATTTTGGTTGTTTCTCTTCCTGTTATGTGCTGATCCTTTCTGGTCATCTGGCCTGTAGTGTGAAGCAAAAGCTTGTGTTAATGAGAATCTACAGCCTGTTGGGAATACTTCCGGTGATATGCCATGTATTTTGACGATACATGTGCATCGACTTAATATTACTGTTCAAAATTCGGATCTTATTTCTTGTTCTGTGTGCTGTCGATCTCCACAGTGATGTAAGAGAAATGAAAATCTTTCTTTCTTTCCCGATCTGGTCCTGGCTGGTTTCAATATTTTCATGCGTGTCTCATGTAGCTGAAACGATTGTGCTTGTTAAGATAAATGAAAGCGATGACTTCGTTTACATTTCTTCCATTAGCTGTGGTTGGAAGGGAAACTGTAGGTTGAGCATCTCCATCACTTCTCTTTAGTTTTTCTTAGCACTTTTCCTTAGATCATACTCACCTTTTGCATTACTTGTTTGTCTTGCACTAGTTCATTCGTTTCGTCATTCTTCCCTACTCTACCAGCTTCCTTGTGTCTCTAAAGAGCCATTACTTTTAGCTGGCTTCTTCTTGCTTTTAAAAGGGCTGCACATGTTTCCTTAAACATCAGTCTGAGAACTTCAGTACTGCTCCACTCAGATTTCGTCTATGATGCCATGTAATGTATCGGACTCTGCTCTGACGGCTGCAATGAATGTGTCCTTTGTAGTCTCGTCCTTCAAATTCTGAGTGTTTAACTCGAATTTCTGTCTTTCTATAACCTCTTTGAATGCTTTCAACTTGACCTTGAAAGTTCCTCTCTACTTTCTTTAGCCACATTCAGAAAGAGTTTATCTAATTTGTGGCTGTGTCCATCTGATGAAACCCCTATCATTTTCGATGCGGATGGTAACAACAGACTAGCCACTCCCTTTATGTGTTCGTATTTGCCAACTGGTTGACCAGATTAAACTACTGACTGCCCAGTTAATAATTTAGATATATTTTTTCCTTTCCATCTCCTCTCACAGATTCTTGTTACTTTTATACCACATCCTCCCATTTCTTTTGAGAGTAGAGCAACCTTTCCAGCTTCAAACATCATACGGACATTCCATGTTGCCATGCTTACTTTTGTTTTCACCAAATGAACATTTATTTTCAGAGTGGCTTCCTGAAAGCTTTCACCAGCCGATGTTCTCCCCGGAAAATAAGTTTTTTTGTACTTCGAAGTTTCAGTGGCGAAAGTGTTGCTTTCTAAATGGAGAGCTGCTAGCTATACGCCCAACTTTCCTCATTTTCTAGATTTAAGACCAGCTAGTAAACTAAAAGTGATACACCCATTGACTGGGTATTGGTTTTCAGGAGAACCAGACACACCCATCCCTGCCTCTTGCGAGACCAGACCGGTATGCAGGATCATCCTGTGGCGCAACTCCTCGACAGCCCTCTTCCTCCGTGGACCAAAACCTCTTGCGACCGCCGGGAGTCGAACCTAGATCGACTGCTTGGAAGGCGGCCATAATAACCGCTACACTGATTAAGGCACTCTACTCGTACTCATACAGCCAGGTGAGGGATTACGGCGAGTTGTCATCTGAACTGATGACGACTAGTGGTGTCCGTCAAGGATGCCCATTATCCCCATTTCTATTCAACTTCATCATAGATGTGTTAATGGACTTAACCCTAAGTGACTTCAGCGACTCAGGGATTGACTTGCTACCAGGAAATAATCTCGTTGACTTGGAATATGCAGACGATATAGTCCTTCTAGGCGAAGACTCTGACAAAATGCAGTCTTCTAAACACCTTGAGCCGCAATCTACGAATGTTTGGCATGCGATTCGCTCCCGCCAAATGCAAGATGATGTTACAGGACTGGACTACACCGACTCCTAGATTAGAAATAGGGAGTGAAGTGGTGGAGCACGTTGACCGCTTCACTTATTTGGGAAGTACCATCAGCCAGTGCCAACGGGTTGATCTCTGACGAAATCTCAGCACGGATACAGGGGGCTCGTTTCGCATTTGCCAGTTTACGCCGACTCTGGCGTAGACGAGATATCCGGCTATCGATTGAAGGGTGGGCGTACTGCTCATCAGTCCGCTCCGTCCTCCTTTATGCTTGTGAGACCTGGCTACTGAGAGTGGAAGACATGAAAAGACTAGCTGTCTTTGATCATAGGTGCCTGCGTTCTATTTCCCGTGTAAAGTGGCATAATAAGGTGAGCAATATTGAGGTTAGGCGTCGAGTTCTAGGTAAACAGGGGAAATCAATCGACGAGGTTGTGAAGTTACATAGACTGAGATGGTTAGGACATGTGTTACGTATGCCTAGTCATCGCCTGATATAGGGTCAGGCTGGAAAACAGCTAGCGGTGGTCAAACCAAAAACATGGCTTCACCAGTCAATGAAATCTACAACAGTTAGTCTAAGCCAGCCAAGTAGGACGGTGTGGACTTCCTGATTGGGGTCCTCGGGACGGTAAAAACCAATGGCTGGAAACAGTTGGTGACATGGCTCAAAATCGGTCTCAATGACGCAGAAGCATCCGCTCCCTGTGACTTATGATTTCTAATGAAACTGTTTTGTTCTTCGTTACTGCTATTCCTTTGTTTCACACCTCTGTTTACTGTCTCTATTATGCATTTCTTCTACTTTCTTATCTTGATTTGTGTGCTACATGGAGGGAGTGTGGCGATTTGAACTGGTGCACATATGTGTAAAGTTCTATGTTGAAAACAGACAGACAGTAAACTAAGAGAGGTTCAAGGCTGAATAAAATAAAACATTTCCAACAATATCTGATCAGAAAATCAGTGGATATGGAGTAAGGGAATATGATGCTAAAAGAAATCGCATTTCAGAATTCCTCAAGTCAAGGACCCAGCGAATATATATATATCCAACTTATAAAGTATGATATTTTGAGGTTGAAACATATATCATATGTGTTGATCATTTACTGGGAAGTAATCAATGTTACGGCAGTTGGCCTCAAAGTAAAACAGAATTTTACCAATACGATTAGTGAAATGTTTTGCCAGTCTTGATCGTAACCACTGTGGTTCAGTGTCTAACTGATGTTACGAGGTTCAGATCTCCATAATGGTATCTATTTCTTGATGGATGAATACTTATATATGTGAAAAATAAATCTAGGGAGTCTATCGACTACTCACAGTTCATGAAATATCATAGAACTACCTAAATTTCAATTTGGCACCTAGCCCACCTGTTCTTTTGAAGAATGATTGATGTGGAGAAATGATGGCTGGCTGAAGTATACTGGATTCTGTATAGATTTTGTTCATGCGTCCAGTCAGATATTTATTTAACAGTAGTGCGTAGAAATTCAATGGTATTCACGATTAGTAATCGATGTTATTCCTTATGGCTCTTATAGGTCACGACATTGGCATTCGTATATTAGTAACGCTTTTCGTAACTTGGCGCTTTATGGAAAGCACTTTCACATTAACTTTCTGCGAACTTTTATCAACAATGCCCTTGGTGCCTTTATGATGATGACCGGATGGCCAGAAAGCATTGCCAACAAGAAACGCTGGGAAGAAAATGGAGATGAATCAGCCACACTGTTTACAGACCGTTAAGTGACATCTCACAACAAGTCATCAGTCGACAAGTCCAGCCAAGGGCGACATACAACAGGCTGTAAGAGGAGCAGATGAGAGATTATGGGCAATTGTGGGGGCAGCTAAAGAGGAATCCAGCAAAGTGGAGATGCACTACTGAAGCCTTGTATTCCACTTGGAACCCAAATGAACAAGAAATAAAATAATAATAATAGGTTGAAATCTATAGTGAACTTATTTTTTGACTGAACTGTGTTATAGTTTTGGAGCTGTAGTAGATTTTCTATAATGTATGATCGGATCATACTTTTATTGTAATGAGTGATAAATCTGACGTGAGAGAGACACCAATGTATATGTTATCTCGTACTAAAACATGATAAATTCCGTGAAAAAACATATTTTTAGGCTGTTTGCGAACAAAATGGATACATAATTAATGTCAGCTAGTGACTTGTTAATTACGACACAACTAGATTGACAGTCTACCGATCAAATGTAAAATTCCTCCCCTTAACTATATAAATAATAACTAGTAAGTCATGACTTGTCAATCACCTTTGTGTAAACGCCCATTACCTACAGCTAACCACATATGTTTGTCATTCCATTTCCTATATGCATTTAGATACGACACCCCTCCATCACTTTCTTCCATGAATTAGTGTAGTTCGTCAATGCTTCTTTCTCTGTCTGAAGGACAACCGCTTTGTATTTATCTCTGTTGTATTAATTTAGGGTTTTTGGACTTCACAACCAAATAAGTCAACTCTTTTAGTTATATCTAAGTTAAGACCCCCTATTGTCATTAATAACTGTGCAGAGGATTAAGAAGACTATACGCAAATTAAATCTATGCGCATTAGTGATCGAAACTTGTCTGTAGTGCTATGCATCGCTATTATTAGGTAAGTTCACCGTTTGTATACAAGATCTGACAGTTGCCTGTTCGAGAAAACTTTTATCAACTTAAGCTTTATGTAAGCAAACATTCGTTAAAAAAATATTATTAGGAGATCTGTTTATTGAAATTTTGTCCCAGAAAAGTTGAATCAAAGTGAATTTTTCCCATTGACAGTGTGTGTAGCTCCAGTACCGCAGATCACAGATTGAAATTTTATACAGACTGAGACTTTTTGAGTTCCAGGGAATAAAAAAGTTGAAGACAATAGTCAAGAATCAAAAGTCTTAGATTTATACGCTTTTTTACCTTGCAGGTAAAATGTGGTTGAAAATAAAATAGATACAGGTAAACTTAAATAATACATAAACAGAAAGTACATACTTTAGCTTGTTGAAGTAAACTCTGAGCAATTTCCATTGAGCTCCAATCCCATTTCACTTTTAATCGCCTATTATCTGAATGTCCAGGGAGAACTTTCAAGTATGATAATAGACTGTATCCATCGTCTGCTTTTTCATTCATATTTTTTATTTCAGATACCATTAGTGTGGAAGAATTTGCATTATAGTCAGAGATATATATTCTGTGACAGAGTTACTGTTCCTTGAATTTCAAGCCAAGATGACACTGTATTGTAAATCTAAAAGGTTAAAATGATGCCATTAAATGTCTAACTGATATGGTGAGAACTTATGTATATAAATATATATATGTATAAATTGGTGCTGACAAAATTTTATCGATCAAGTTTAGAATTAACCTACCTATCTAGTTACCCAGCCACCATGCTGTAATTTGAATTGATGCAAGATAGTTAAAGATGATTGGTGGGAAGCTCTGGACCTTTATTCTGTACTTATCGGCATTCATTATTTTATTATTGTTTTTTTACTTTTTATTTTTGATTACAGCTTGATTCCACACCGTATTTTCGGTACAAGTATGGAATTTTCAGCATGGATATCGGTAGCCCAAATTTTGCAGGCCGACCGTAGATATTATGTGTGCGTCGGCAGGGGATCGAACCTTGGACCATGTGCATGGTCGACGAGAGTCCTAACCACTTTAATGGGCCAATCCTTGAGGTAATGCAATACGAGACCGACCCATGGACAGGATTGAGTAAGCTCACAACACCCGTCCGTAATGGAAAAAATACAGTTAATTTCATTGGTCTCAGTTTGGAGACCGTTGCAGAAATTACACTGCAAAGAACAGATATTACATATGATCTTAGCTCAGAGAGCCGAGAAGGTGTATCTGTGACCTCGAGTGGACTAATATTCCATCGATGATCCGAACATGCTGCAGTCAGAGACTGTATCACTCAGCTCTTTTAGGAGACGGCTAACCTCTTTCAAGAATTTATGGGATACATTGACTGGTCTCAAAAAGGTGACCAACGTCATAAGAGGGTAACGTTTTCCGGATGGTTTCAGATTCGCTTTCATGATATATCAGTCAACAGGCACGAAATTCAGGTCTTGGGCTTCCTGCGGGTTGTCTTCGGCCATAAAACAAGTAATATATATATATATATATATCGTTGAACTAATTTAAATTATCTACATTTTGCAGCGACATCTAAATATGGTTGATTGTATGGGTATGAAGAACATTTTGGACATTCGAAGTCAGTCGGATAAATTTATTTCATTCAAAAGAGTTTCTTATTCCAGTTATTGAACTTCTTCTCGAGAATCTTCAGTGGCATTTGTGAATGCATACTGGCACATTTAAAAGTCATCATTCAAATCCAGTTGTGTTGTTGTAAGCTGACTGATGTTAACACAGATAGCAAGTTCATTAGTTGTGTTTCTTTTTAACGAAAGAAAATATAAAACCTCCGACAACAGAAAAATGTTTTTTTTTTTAACAGACAAAGACACCACAGCATATTAACTATGGAAGATAATTTTCTCCTAGTTTATGAAACTCACTGAGTTTTTTTTATTTGGATTTCAGTGTAGAAGCCATCATCAGGATACTGTTAAATAGAGCTAAAATGCCCAAAACGAAAACCTAAACGCGAATTAAGGCCCAGCAAGGTATCTTTTACCGGCAGCTACTTTCTTCCATGGTCATAACTGTCTAAAGAGCATCGGAAAACACGTTTTGTGAGCGATTTCAAATGTCAAATTATTTGAGATTGTTAGTAAATTCTGCTGTCTTATGGGAACATTCTACTACTACTACTAATACCTAAATCTTACTTTCTATCCTACAACATTCATTTACTTGATATAAGAATAAAACTTGTACACTGTGGTAGCGTATAATTCCATTATGGGTAAAATTTATTTTGATAAAGTCACACAGTGTTATACAGTAATGCTTACTGATATTTACATTTAACTAGAGAATGATGAAACAATGGTTAGTTTTGATATAACTAGTCTTTATACTAATATACCAATCAATATAGCCTAAGAAGCAGTTAAAAATAACTAACTGCAGATCCTGAACTCACTTATAGGACAAAGCTGTCCATTGAAGAAATTATTTTAGGGATTCAGTTATGCCTCACATCTACTGTCTTTAAATGCCAGCAAAAAATATATAAACAAACAGATGGTGTGACAATGGGATCACCAATATCCCCTAATGTAGCAGATATATTTGTGGACAGCTGAGAAAAGATTGCTCTAAATCCATTTAATCCTACTCAAAAATATGATGGAGATATGTGGATGAGACTTTCACAAATTTTAAAAACAGAATATATCTCTAGCTTCTTGACACAAATTAACTGGTAAAGGGAATAAAACTCACATTTGAATCGGAAAATGAACAAGGAGAATCAGCATTGTTAGATTGTAAAATAAAACGAATAGAAGAAGGTAAACTGCACACTAGCGTCTATAAAAAACCAACGCATTCTAATAGATATTTAGATTTTAATTCGTCTCATCCATTAACTGTTAAGGCAGGCTTAGTGAAGTGTCTAACAAACCGAGGCATAGCACTAAGTAGCACAAGAAAAGACCTAAATGACGAAATAAAACACATAGAAGAAGCGTTGGTGTTGAATAACTACCCCATAAAATTCATTAGCAAGATCAGTAAAGGCTAAAACGAAAAATAAAAATAATTGTGGAACTAGTAGTGATAACATAAATAAGAGAGAATATAGGGCAGTAGGATTCTTTATAAAGCAGGAGTAAAGGTGGCATTTAAACCTACAAACTCACTCAGGTTGGACAAACTCTGTAGGTTAAAGGACCCAGTTAACCCAATTAGACAAAATAATATAATTTACAAAATACCCTGCAGTGACTGTGAGGTCAACCACATAGGTCAAACTAGTAGGTCAAGGGAAGCCAGATTGTTGGAAAATAAGAATTTAGCTAAGGTAAGAATGGTTGACCCCGAGAAGATAAGTGCTTTGGAAAAAAGCTCAGCAACTGCAATGCATGCATTAATACACAACCACACAATAGCATGGTGGAAGAGGGTTAAAATTCTAAAAAGTAATCTAGGTAGGTGGAGAGAGAGAGAGGTTGATTATTGAATCCTTGTTCATCGAGTCTGCACCCAACATGTGCAATAGGATTGATTCACTACTCATACCGGAAATATAGAAAATATTACCACCAATCAAATCAAGTGATGAAAAATAATGGAATTATCAGAAAGTTGTGTGAGTAACTTGATATGATTACGAGCAATAAATTGTACTCGAAATGTGGTCATGTGTCAATATTACTGTACAATACTGTGAGACTTTGAATAAAATAAATTTTACCCATAATTGAATTCATATGCTTGTTCTAAATAATAAGCAGTCTATTGTAGCTCTCAACTTTTCTAGTTTTTTTGCATTACAAACCACCTAAGTTAATTGATTTTTCTGCAAGTTACTTAAAAATATGTGTATTTACTGACATGATTACATTTGATAATGAGTTATATATTATCAATAGTTGAAGAAAATTGTCTCAAACAACAATAATGTACTCATATCATCCTCCTACTCAAATTGTCTATCAATATGGAGAACAAGAAAAACTTTTAGCAAAGAAATAAATATGTGGGTAGAGAAATTTCCAAACCCTATAAAAATTTTTTTTATCAGTCATACACAGAATTCCTCTTTGCTAGGTAGGAAAAAGAGGGATGGGGGGTGGAAATTATTTCCTTAACAATAAAAAGAAAAAGAAATCCAAAATTACACATTTTTCAAGGAACTTTCTCACCTACATACTGTGAATACTCTCGAATGTACAGCTTAGTTGGTAACTGACTGACTGACTTCGTCGAAAAGAGAAATTTTCCTTCTCTGCCAACATCTTTTCAATTTTTCAATTATATATATATATATATATATATATATATATATATATATATATATATATATATATATATATATATATATATATATATATATATAGTCTGAATAACTACTTAACTAAATAGAAGATTATTGAATTCCTATTTTGAGAAAAGTTAAAAAAGAAAATTCAAGAATTAAGTAAATTGTCAAATTTTATTAAATTAGATATGCTTGGCTTTAGGTTTCTTCTTCAATTTTCCTCTTTTTTCGCATTCAACAAACAACAAAAGTAGTTTTGAAGAAGAGAAGTGTAAATTCTGTTTAAGGGTGTGTAGAGAATAATGCGCCCATATTTTCGAGTGTTATATTTCTTCAGTGAATATTATCAGTAGACTATTCTTCAGTTCTGTATGATCATCTTTGTGATTACTAACTGATGCAGCTAACTTTTACTGGGCAATTTCAGTTTGGTTATTACTGAACTTTTTTCCATCCCGAGGGGAACATAGGGTTTCATGCCTTAAGCTTTGAAGTTTGCGGGGTTGAGCTGATAACCCCACACCCAACCTTCCCTTCCTTCAGGGTTTACGGCTAGTTAGATGAGGTTTAGGAGTGCTGTGGTCAAGAATCGAACCTAAGTCATTTGTGAAGCTAACGAGCATTCTATCCATGGTGTATGAGCTCCATAAATGGTTACCTCAGTCCTACCAGAATTAAGAACCAGAAGTTAGTTGTTTAATTGTAGCTAACAGTAGAATTGTTAGCATCCGCTGAAACAAGATGTATACTAAATTAATGATGAAATCAATGGTAAATCATAAATATGAATGAATAGTTTCAGATAGCACCAGTGACCAGCTGACTTAGTGTATAAAAGTTTAGCGTGTGAAATGATGGTTACCGGAGGATTTCAGTCCTGGTAGGAATACCATCACTCACTGGGTAATAAATACATTCGACTGATGAGTCCCAAATAAGACGGAAAATGTAAAGTGGATCCTCCTGACAGCTACAACCAAAACAGGTAATCTTGTATTATTGAATAACATTAAAACTATTAATCACCCTTCCCTTACACAAGCATTAGACGAAAATTGAAGTCATTGTTAACATTAACAATACCGCCTGTGTAGACACTTATAAAGGACAAATTTAATGCATAACATAGGCTGCATTAAATGAAAATGGAAAAAATAGAGATTTTATATTTTTTTTTAAAGTGTGACCTAAAATTTTATCTTCTGCTTAATAAACTAAAATTTCAGGAAAT